AAAAGTATAATTACGGAAACGAACTAACGCTAAATCATCAACACCAACAAGAATGTAATAGTTTTAGAAAAAATTAATTCATTTTTCTATAATCACGTTTGAAAATTTTAATAAATTTAAGTCCCCTTTAGTACAGATTTGGAGTGTTTTTTAGATGATGAGAAGAGGTTTTTCAAAATAGTTTAAGAATTTTTTATTTCTTTAAGCCGATCCTCCACAGTGAAATGATTTTATAAATCTTAACTAATTCTCACGCCATTTCCCCCACTCTACTCCCTAACACAGGCCCTGACACGCCTAACGAACCTTCTCGACCCGCTGCGGATACCCTCCAATCGACGTGTCATATCGGACTGCTGCCTCGCAACGCCCTAATTCCAGAGCACAGCACCACCGTCCAACATATGAATCTCTCGCTCGCTCTCTCTCAGTCTCATTCTATGTTTAAACCGATCTTCAGATTTTCCTTTTCATGTTTTGATTTTCAATTGAAGTTTGAAAGTAGATTCAAGTAAAAGCGTGTTAAATCGCGGAAGTGTTAGTCATCCTGTTTTCTCTGTTTCGATTCTTTTAACTTGCAGATTTCAGCAGAATCAGTATTCGTGGACGAAATCGTTTCCAATTAATGTGTAATTTCTCTAGATCTAACAATCACACGCATAACTCAGTACAATCCAGAGCAATAATTAGAATCTTCACATTTCGCTATATCAAGCAAACACAGCAACTAAACAGAAACAGCAAAAGTTCAAGAGAATGAAAACTTACAGAGGGAGAAGATACCGACGGAAGAGCCACACAGGCAACTCGCCAGCTTGGAAGTCTTAGACAGCGGCTTAGAGTCACAAAGAAGAGAGAGATCTGAATTTCTGAAGAATGTGAAGTCAGCAATTGCAACTATGTGTGCTCTCAAGTCCGCAATGTGGGTGTTCCTTATATACAAAAACTTGCTGATTTTCTTTTTTCTTTTTCTTTTTTTTTTCTATTTTATTTATTTATTATTATTAGAATTACATTTTTGTTATACTTTCAAATGTGAATTTCCACGTCAGCATATAATTCCCTTTAATTTCTCAATATGGTAATGGAAAAGAGGATCAATGAAGTTTGACTATGATTAAAACTTAAGATAAATTAAGGCTAAACCTTAATTATGAGACTAAATATTAAAAATAGTCACATGTTTTTATTATTTTAATGAAATTCACTTTCTTTTTTTATTCCCGAGTCTTGACTGAAAAGAAACGGAAGGGAGTTCGGGAAAGCCACAAGCAAGTGAACATATTAACTAAGCCAATCATGAATTGAATGACCTTTTAAGGAACCGGCTAGGTTAAGACTAAGAAGAGCACTTAAAGAAACAAAGAATGTCTTCCACTCTTTCATAGAGCCTCTGCCTCGTCAAGTGGATAGGCAGCAAGCACAGTTAGATCTTCGTTTCAGATCCTCCATCATAAATTTTTTGATTGAGCCATCGAAATTGAATCTAACGACCCATCTCTAGCAAATATTGTCCTCTTTGGGCTACCACCAGTAGATATTGTCTTTTTTGGGGTTTCCCTTTCAGGTTTCCCCTCAAGGCTTTAAAACGCATCTGTTGGGGAAAGGTTTACACAACCTTATAAAGGGTGTTTCGTTCTCCTCCCCAACGTGAGATATCACAATCCACCCCTCTTTCAGGGCCCAGTGTAATCGCTGACACTTGTTCCTTTCTCTAATCGAGGTGGGAGATATCACAATCCACCATTCTTTAGGGCCCATCATCCTTTCTGACACTCGTTCCTTTCTCCAATCGATGTGGGATCCCTACCAAATTCACCTCCCTTCAGGGCCAAGCATCCTTACTAGCGCACCGCCTTGTGTCTACATCTTTCGGGGAACAGCTTCCTCGCTGACACATAGTCTGGTGTCTGACACTAATACCATGTGTAACGCCCTAGGTCCAACACTACCCGATATTGTCCTCTTGGGACTTCTCCTCAAGGCTTTAAAACGCGTCTACTAGGGAGTTGTTTCGTTCTCCTCCCCAACCGATGTAAGACATCACACGGAAGATGCACCTTGTTAGTATAAGAAGTAACTTTTTATTATTTCTTAATTATTGTATCTTTAAGATTGCTCTTATTTAGTTCCCTCGTATATCCCACACGTAAATAATCGTAGACGCGGTTCTAGCGGAGGACAAAGGAAGAGAGGAAACATGATAAAGATGGGCACGTGCGTTGAAAATTCAAGATTTCCAAGCTTTGATTTTCATTATTATTTACTTTTATTTATTATTAATTGGAAGCTATCAGATCTGGTCGCTGAATTATCTATATTAAAAAAATAATAAAAAAAAAAAAGGGAAGGCCATCGTGGTGAACAACTAGGCCGTCTAAGAGAATGGACCATTGCCCACGTTATCCGCTCATACACAAACCCCACTTTATTATTTTCAACCTTTCAACAACAAAAATATTCTTTTATTTTATTTTATTTGTGGATTTTAATTATGGGTTAAGTTTAGTTAAAGGTGTGGTGTGGATTTGTTCTTCGTGTTCTTCATTTAGAAATATTTGAAGAAAACGTTAAGTATCTTTTCAAAAGTTTGAGCTTTCCACACGTCGAACTAAAAAGAGTGATGGAATCGTAACTTTCATAGAAAATTCTTGTTCATGATGACGATTTGAAACTAAACTAAGCGTGGAAAATTGTGGAGTTTTGCAATGTTTTTAAATGGCATGGGAATCTGGTTTAAAAAGAAGAAGGTTTGTATTTGGAGTATGATTATTTGGAGGAAATTGGAAGGTTTAATATGTTATAACATTCTAAATTTTGAGCAGTGTATTGGTTACCAAAATCAATTGGTAAGCCCTAAGCCCTATCCCCTAAACGAAAAAGGGAAAACGGTCGAGATTAAAACCATCGAAAACGTTGTCGGAATTCTGTACACAGAGGAGAGAGAAACGGAAGGAAAATCGCGTCCAAACTCGGGTCAAGAAGACAAGATCCGACGGATCCGAACCCGGGTTGGACAAACCCGTAAACCAACAACCAGCAGCCCAGTCCAATAACCAAACAAGCCCTCGACCCATACTCGTCATCGACCCACGCTTGCAGCCCGCTTGACAATCGAATACTCGAGGCTCAATCTCAGTGACGGCAGCCCAAACTCAACCCCGCGTTTTGGGCCAACTTGTAGTGGCCCAACACCACACCCAGCCAGCAGCCGAAACCCAACCGCGCGCCTTGGGCCAACTTGTAGTAGCCCACACAGCATCGCAGCTAGCAGCCCAGCATCGTGACCCGCGTACCCGTATTTCGACCCAAAGCTGCCTGCTCACGCGTCCGTCTCTAATTTTGCCATGTGGCACACCTGCAACGCGACACCCCCTCGGCTCAGTCGGTTTAGACGGCTCGGCTTAGCTCCGAGGTTCAGAATTCACCCTCTCAGCTCGGTAAAGAAAAATCAATCATTTCCCACTATTTCAACCCTCACGGAAGTTGAAGTTGACCTAAGTTAAGAATTATTAAGTTACTAAAGAAACCGGATGGATATTCCAATTAGAAACGACAATCAGCTCTATTTGAAGCAATTTTAAGGAACGGGAACTAACATACTTAAATTAGGAAAAAGGCTGGCGAAGGCCAATCAAGTAAGAGCCCATATGGTCATTTCGTTATAATTGTGAGCTATAATATGATGGTTATAAAAGGGTATGTGTACCATGTGGTCATTTGGAAAAACATGCGAGTGGTTTTGCAAGTGTCATATTCCCATATTTACAAAATATTATAAAAGGGTATGTACATGTTATGATATGCGATTGTTATGTTGTATTTGATGAATTAATATGTTTATGATATGATATATTAAGGTATGATATGTGCAGGTATGGATTGTAATGCTAGAAAGCATGAAAACGTTATAATATGAAATGTGTGCGACATGAATGATATGAAGTGATCAACATGCAAAATGATGAACTAGCATGAAATACAACCCCGACATATGCATAAAAGTTATGATAAATGATATGATATACATAATGAGAAATGATATGATATGAAGAAGACACTAGTGGGGTTGTATTAAATGATAATAAAAATAGAAAATGTTGGAACCTCATGCATTATTGTGTGCTCATGCATCGAGCTGCCATGACAGTCGCTATTCCTAATAAGTGTCCGGCATCAACAGCTACCAGAGAATGTTCGCTCGACTAGAAAGGGGCCCAAGAGGTGTGCAAACCAACTAGTGGGTTCATACTTGCATGTGTGGACCATGTGTAGGAAAATTAAGTACATATTCAAGTTGCTCGTTAGGATAGCCGTTGAAAGAAAATAGTTTGTTCTGATAGATCCCGTACATGAACTTGTATATGTTTGCATTTAACTCCGACAGGCGCTTATTGAGTATTTTAGAAATATTCAAGTCACGTGCTACTCTATTTTTCGGTTAAAGACAAAGCACCCCCATACGGTTGACAATGACATCACAACTACGAGACCGTGACAAAAACTTAGATTGTTTTGTAATTCGAATTTAGTAGACTATAGGTTAGTATATGTTAGTTACATTCCCATAGGTTGTTTTTCTTTTTATTTCAATTTGTATTAGTTGGTTGATAAGCCTAAGATGACATGCAAGACCAAGGTTATTTTATTATAAAGTTTCAAATAAAGTACTTCCAACGTTCGTAATGTGCATTCAATAACAACCTTAGGTAAGTATAAAATTTAGGGTAACCGAATAAGTTGTGAAGCGGTGAAAGCAAGTTGTGTTGTTTTCACTCACTTGTAACTTCTTCTCACTCACTCGTATCCAATCCAAGGGAATGTAATGGATTGGAGGCACTAAGCCATGAAAACTAATTCCCAAGCATGAAAGGCCCTGAGGGGAGCATAATCAAGCATCAACTACACTAACTCAGATAAAATTTACCATCCCAGCTGCTGCTCCTCCTCCTCCCATTGAAACATCACCTGAATTTTGTTAGCACCACAGAACATAAAAGAAACAATAATCACTGTACATGTTTAATGGAATACAATAAAATACAACACTCGTTGAAACAAAGAAGATAAGATACTGTAAAAACCTTGGAAACCTTGGAACAACAACAATACATCCCAACAATCAATAAGTCCCACCAAAGTTATGCCACTTCTTCCGTAGGTTTTGCAGCAGCAGCAACAATGTTGGAATTTGCGTCTTCAATTTCTTTTATTTGCCTCAGAATGTCTGCCTTCTTGTCGAGCAAGGCATTGATTTTAACATCCATCTTCTCTAGTTTCTGTTTCAGTTTCCCCATATCTCTACTTTTGTTTGTCTCTTCTACTTTCTTCTTCTTTTCTTCTTTATCTTTCTTGTTTTTCTTCTCATTATCCTTCTCCTCTTCTCCTCCTCCTCCTCTACAACCTCCCTTCTCACCTGCTTCTTCTTCTTCTTCTTCTTCTTCGTCTACTTCTACTTCTATTTCTATCTCTATTTCCCTGCTTCTGCTCTTGGTTTCATCTGCTTCATCCTCCTTCTTCTTCTCCTTTTTTCCCTTCGTTTCATCTTCTTCTTCTACGTTGTTCTTCTCTTTCTTCTCTTTCTCTTTCCCACCTTTTTCCTTTTTCTTCTCATCCTTCTTTTCTTTCTTCTCTTTCTTTTCTTCTTCGCCATCATCTTCTTCATCCTCCTCCCCCTTCTTCTTCTTCTTCTTCTTCTTATTCTTTTCTTCTTTATTATCATCATCTTCTCTTTTCTCCTTTTTCTCCGGTTCCTTCTCTCCTCCTTTCTTCTTCTTCTTCTTCTTCTCTTCTTTGCTATCATCTACTTCTTCCTCCTTTTTCTCTTTTTCCTCCTCTCCTTTCTTCTTCTTCTTCTTCTCTTCTTTACTATCATCTTCTTCTTCTCCTCCTTTCTCCTTCTTCTTCTTTTCCTTCTCTTCTTTCTTTTTCTTCTTCTTCTCCTCTTCTTTACCATCATCATCGTCGTCTTCTTCTTCTTCATTCTCAATTCCTTTCTTCACCTTCTTATCTTCCACTGCATCACCACCTTTACCCTTCTCCTTCTCTTTATCCTTCTTACCCTTTTCCTGTTTCTTCTCTTCTTTTTCACACTCTTCATCATCCTCAACTTCCTTCCTCTTGTCTTTCTTTTCTTTCACTTCATCACTCTCCCCAGATTTCCCATCTTTCTTCTTATGTTTCTTTTCATCTTTTTTCTCTTTCTTCTCCTCTTCCTTTTCCTTCTTCTTCTTCACTTCTGTTTCCTTCTCTGCTCCATCCTCATCTTTGTGCTTCTTTTTTGCTTCTTTTTCATCTTTGCCTTCATCCTTCTTCTTCTGCTTCTCTTCTTTCTTCTTCTCCTTTTCATTCTCAACATTTTTCATCTTCTCTTTCCTCCCTGATGAGCTCTTGAGTTGAACCTCGACCTCTGTCTTCTCTTTCTTTCCATCTTCATATTTTGCCTCCTTGCTCTTGATCTTAACCTCATGCTTTTCTTTCTCCACCTCATCATCCACCTTAACAACCTCAGACTCAACTTCAACCTTTGTCTTCTCTTCCTTTCCCAATATTGGGATATCTACAGATTCATCAGCCATCTTGATGAATTTCGCTAAAACTTCAGTTATGAAATCCTCTTCCGAACTGCACTTGATTTTCAATACTAAACGCACCTGAACAATTAGAAAGCAGAGAATCGCCAACTGAAAATATTCCTCGAGAGCAAAATAAATAATAAGAAAAAAGAAATTGAAGTAACTTGAAAAGTTCTTGATCTGTAATAATTAAACTAGCATGTTGACGAAGAAAAGTGGAACTGATTTATTGCTGTATTCAGCATTATGTGTAATAAAAAATTGCCTAACCGTGCCTTTTCTTTTTCCAAAAGAATCATAAAGTAAACTATCGGCAATACTACACAAGGATAAACCATATTTTTTTTTTATCTCTTCCACTTTTACCAGTTTCAAACTTGTTTTCGAGATATACATTTTAGATTCGAATGGAAAAGAGTCCTTACACGAGCCTTCATTTTCTTCAAATATATTTTATAAGATTCCATGCTTCAAAATAGGAATGCGATCTAGATTGAACAGAAGGAGAAATGAAAATTTGATACAAACTACAACAGAACCAAATAAAGAGGAGAGGTTCCTCCCTAACTAAGGGATAAAGAAGAAAATCGCAAATAATCAGATCCTAAAGCCGCATTAATTCCGGAAACGAAAAATTAAGAACCGGATTCCAACGACGAAAGAAAGGCAAAAATCGAAAACACTTCCCTGGCGGATTGAAGAACCGGATTCGAAATAGCGATTGATTCATTCAACAGAGAGCACAGAACATTGAAGGGATTGAAATGAAGCACATAAATAAAGCAAATCGAAGAGGAACAGAAGGAGAAAGAATCTGAAAACAAGAAATGGTGTTGCGTGGTTACCTTATGTTAGAGTGTGGATGGAATTGGAAGATGGGAGGGGGAAGCGGTGATTGAGAATGGGAGTATTTATCGGAATGGAAACAAAGGGAAGCACATAGTACCTTTTTTGGAGTCAAAAATTTAATAGCGTTCCCATTCATTCTCTAGACATTTTGGTCGCCACCCAACAGAACACGGAATGGACGAGAAAGAGAAGGAAAGGCAAAACGTAATGGGTAAGCAATACACATTATTATTGTTACTTCAATTTTTCAACTGTTTTTGGTCCATAATTACAGCCATTTAGGGTATTTTAGTCTTTTTACTAAATCATATTTAATCTTAAAAATATCCTCATACTTTCTATTTTATCTAAAAAATATTAATATTATATTCACTATTGTGGTTGGAAAAATAAATTCATATATATGTATTATGACCGGCAAGACCTAACTTTTTTCATGACGGTTCCTTTGGATCTATTCTTTTTCGGGTATGATTGGTTACATAATACTTCCCTACATAGTGTCCATGCATATGCACGTGGACCTACTAGACGAGCTTGTTATGATACTCCTCGCTTGACTATAAGCTAATGCACACTCATACTATCGAAAATTAAGACATTAGTTCTAATGAGTATTCTATAAAATTTTATGATTTTAATTAACTCTAAATGACATGAAACTCAGTCTGACACCTACTTATGAAATTATGAATAAATTATGCATGATTGTTTGATGACTTGTTAGGATTATGACATGTATGAGAAGATCAGATGCCTTAAGCTTTTAATGATGGACCCTTTTAGTTAAAACCATGTGCTTATTAACCAATGACTTATACTATAGGGTTAAAATCCAAGCTAAGTAGGCGGGTTTCTAGAAATGCACAACCAAAATTCTAAACTAATATGACACTTAGACCGCTAATACCACTTCACTCAGACTTGCCTTATGCACTAAATTACTCTAGACCTCCCATTACGTGGTATATCATGATCTCATGTTTTTTTTATTTGGTGGGATCCCTTGCTTGTATACTTTTAGGATGCCCTATTTGGTAGGATGTTAGAACCCAAACTATGTCACCGAGGATATAAGGAAATGTCGAGACAACCATGATCCAAATCCAGATTTATAATCCTAAGCCAAATCTCATACATAGATTCTCCCTTCGGTTCTTTTTGCTTACGGACCATGTGACCTAGTAGGTCTTATGGTGAGAGTATTTTAAGATAAGGACTATTGTTATGCATTGTGTGTAGAGTAAACATGGATAGCCTGATGGAATCCACTCTTCTTAAACTTGTCCTAAGGACTAGGGATCATACAGGCTTAACCATTTGTTTTTTTTTTTTTTTTTTTGTCTCATTTTGTACTAGGTTCCTTAATGTATTTAAACTTGAACTCTATCTTATGGCTAAAAAATCGAGTCGTTACACTTATACTTGAAATATTTCGGTGTATTTTTCAACCATCTCGTCCTTTCATTCCCATGTAGCTTATTCCTTTTTGTTGTTTTACCACGATACCTTTACAATTGCTATCTCTCGAGTACACATGACCTTTACTTCTCGTGCTAGGATCCTTACTGATCTTTCCTCCTAGTTTAGACCCTCATCTATTTTTAAGGGTTTGTAATCTACCATGCATGTTGGATCCGTCAAATACTTGCGAAGCAACAAAATGTGGGACATGCTATTCATTGCAGTTGTAGCAAGGCTGATAAATATGTCACCAGTCACACTCGATCTAGAATCTTGAAGAGCCCAATGAAACATGGGCTCAACTTACCCTTTCGTGTTAATCTTAGGACGTCTTTTACTGGGGTCACATTTAGAAATTCCTTGTCGCCTACCTTATACTCTAGGTTTATACATCTTACGTTAGGGTAACTCTTTTGTCTACTTTAGGTTATATGCATCCTCTCGTACTTTTTGCACAACCTCATTGGTGGCTTGGATCAACTTTGTTTCAAACAATTCACGTCGCCTAATTCATCCCAGTATATCGAGGACTTGCATCATTTTCCATACAAGGCCTCAAATGATACCATATCAATGATTGCTTAAAGATTATTGTTGTAGGTAAATTCTATGAGGTGCAACTCAGAATCTTAATTACCTCCAAACTCAAACACACAAGCCCGCAACATATCTTCCAAGGTTTGGTTCAAATGCTCAATTTATCTATCTATTTATGGGTGAAAATTAATACTGAAGTTGAGTTAAGTACCCAATGCTTTCTGTGGGTTGCACCAAAAGGCCAATGTAAAATATAGGTCTCGATTTGACACGATTAACACAAGCATTTCTGTAGTCTCACGATCTCCCGCATACATCTTTTCCCAATTGTCCACTGTATAGGTAGCCATCTTAGGTATGAAGTGAGCTGACTTCATAAATTTGTTGATGATTACCCGTATGGCCGTATATTCTTTTAAAATCTTCATAAATTTGTTGATGATTACCCGTATGGCCGTATATTCTTTTAAAATCCTAGGTAGACCTACAATAAAGTCCATTGTTATATCCTCCCATTTTCATTCTAGTAAACTTAAATGTTATAATAATCATGCTGCTTGTTTCCTTAATGTCTTTGTCACGACCTGATTTTTACCCGCTATGACTTATCAAAAACTTGAAAACATAGGTAAAAATGGATAATGTTTTTTTTTTTTTTTTTTTGTGTGTGTTTAAAACCATAAATATGTTTTATTTACAATTCCAAAATAGAGTTTGAGTACATTGGGCCTGGTAAAAAAAATAACTTCGATTATTAAAACAAAACAAAAAATACGGTGTGGCTCTGTATCACACTGGCTGTAAATGTACTTCCATCTTTGACCAGTTCATTTTTGTCACCTAGAAAAACATGAGAGAACTTGAATGGGTATAAAGACTCAGTACGACTTAATCGTGTCTATGGTGTGTGTTAGATTACCATGTTCTTGTTATTAACGTGAGAACTTACACCCTTAAATTCTGTTGTTGAGTTCTGAGTTATTATTATGATCTAGCCAAGCACCTTGATCTTTGGTTTGATGTGTTGTTCTTGGACTTGGTTATTATTCTTGTTTCTTATTAGGTTCCCTATAACACTTCCTTTAGGATTTATGGTACAAGACATGAACTTAAAGACCTAAGTTTAAGGTTTAATATGATTCAAGCAATATAATCTAAACTTGTATCTAGAGCTTCAAGTGTTCCTTGTGATACAACATGAAACCTAACTCAAAGCTTCTTATGTTCTAAGCGGTGTAGTGTAAAAACCTACATCTAAGGCTTTTTACGTTCCAAGCGATGTAGTCTCAGTCATGAACATTTTGTACTATGGGAGGTTTAAGGGTTCTTGGTTCATGGCTAAGGTAATCTACTATTTTATGTTAACCAGGGGACTTGATTTGGTTTCTTCTATCATGAGCCATGACATCTATGATGGTGTTAATATAACACATGCGGAAGCAATTTAGATCTTCGGCACTTTTAGAACATCAATTATAGTAAATAACTAGCATATTCATAAGTATTAAAACTTAATGAGTTTGAATACTAACCTTTTGTAGTTCAAATTTCTTTTTCCTCACGAACCGGTTTCGAACCACAACTAGTGTCTTCTCCACTATCCTCCGGCCTTAGAACGGGATTGTGGAATCCGATGAGTGACTTAAACTTGGGAGGGATTTTGTATATATGAAAAGAGTGTTGTGAGAAATTTTTCTCAATGTTTTTCACCAACAAGAACCACCTTCCATGTACCATGATCACTCTATTTATAGAGTCATGTTTGCATGTTCATGCAAATTTGAGATCACCAAATTTTGACACTCAAAATTCCACTCAAATGTTTGGGATTATGTAACAAACATGCATGCTTGAGTTAATCAAATTTTGACACTCAAAATTCCACTCAAATTTGTGGGGTTTATTTTGCAAACATGCAAGTTTGGTTAAACCAAATTTTGGCACCTCAAAATTCCACTAACATGGATTTTTCCATTAAATGAAGTCAATATTTTGACTATTGAAAATAGAATATATTTTTTGTTTACAAACTATGAGTTTTAGAACATAAAATCCAACAATCTAGTCAACCTGATAGTTATCTCTAATGTTGCCTTATATTACTTTCTATGAAAGATCAAGAAGGTCACATGGTTGGTGCAAAGCATGACTTGACATCCTGCAAGAAACACTACTAGGGCGTCCCCCAACATAGTGCAAGGCGTCGCATCTAGGTAAGGAAAAATATGAGATCTGAACATGACATCCTACTAAGAAAAGCACAATGTAGGGTGTCACAATCGTACTCTTATGGTAGCAGGACAGTGATTGTGCGATACTTGTTTTAACCCAGTAAACAAGTCAACCGTATGGAAATCGTAACTGATAAATAATTCTGACATATGATCAAGCCTCAACCATGTTTGAGAGAAAGTGTTTTAGAAAATGTGAGCGAGGAAATGCATCATAAAATAATTTGTAAGAAAGTAATGTTATAGGATAAAAGCAAATAAGCAACAACCATAACTTTGATAGTATATAACCTTAGTAGAAAAGAATTACAACTAGTCCATCCTCCTATACTATATTTTGAGGCATTTTAGTCCTGACAGATGTAGACATGATTTTGGTGAGTATTCATCTACCCCGTATTGACACGACGAGAATGGTAAAGAACTAACTATACATGAAAGTAAGTAAAAGGGGATTGGAATGGGCATGTGGTCATGAATAACATGCCTTAGAAAAACATGACCGGGACATCCAACATGTGGCCACAGTTAGACAAGTATGATCATGATATTCTCCCCATTCAGTTGGTTGATCTCACTGTCAACTGACTCTTCGCAAAATCAATGATGTAGGATGAAGTTTGCTTTAGCTTTCTTGACGCGTTTCCATCTGATCTCTGCCTCAAAGAGTCTCTTCTAATCTGTAATGAATCGTTGAAAACCACTTCTTGGTTCGTCGACTCTTCGCGTCTTCTTTGTAAGATTTTTTTTTTTTTTTTTTTTTTTTTTTTTTTTTTTTTTTTTTTTTTTTTTT